GGGACCTTACTGGTTGTGAATACCACCCAGTCCCCCACTTCATTCCCTTAGTCCTTATCAAGCAGGAAGTTCTCAGGGGACAGCAAGTGCCAGGGTCACGTGGCCATGATCAAAGCCCACTTTTGCCATTCTCCAGCTGTGTGACCTTAGGCAAGTGACTTGCCCTCTCTGAGCCTCAGGTTCCATCTTGGTAAGAACGGCATAATAATAGACTCGTGGGGGGGGCGCCTGGGTGGCGCAGTGGGTTAAGCGTCCGACTTCAGCCAGGTCACGATCTCGCGGTCCGTGAGTTCGAGCCCCACGTCGGGCTCTGGGCTGATGGCTCGGAGCCTGGAGCCTGCTTCCGATTCTGTGTCTCCCTCTCTCTCTGCCCCTCCCCCGTTCATGCTCTGTCTCTCTCTGTCCCAAAAATAAATAAACGTTGAAAAAACAATTAAAAAAATAATAATAATAATAGACTTGTGGGGATTGGAGAAGCGACCTGTGGACTCCAATGTGAGGGTTCCAGCACAAAATCTGTATCCTGAGACAAGAATTGAGGGTAGCCAGGAAAGGGGGCTTCATCGAGGAAGTTCCCACTCGGGCACCTGGGATTCAGTCCCTCTGGGGACCTCGGAGAGACGGCGAGAACAGGCACCCACCAGTCGTTACTCAGGGCCACTGCCAAGGGCATTATTTCTCCAGAATGTTCTGCCGGCTGCAACAGCTGAACCGGGGGGGGGGGGGGGCTGGAAAGTTGCCTGATGTGGACAATGTAACTGGTGAGTGGGGTTCTCCCTCCTCTCTTCCCAATACTCCCCCACACAGTCTCTCTCACACACACACACACACACACACGTGTTCTCAAACGCACACGTGCATGCACGCACACCATCCCACACATACACACAACGCACCCACGCTTGCACGCGTACACACACTCGCGTGCACACATCCACACACCTACGTGCACACATATGCACATATCTAAACATACACGTCCCACGCACAAGCACGCGTGCACACACGCTCGTGCACACACGCTCATACACACTCTGAACTAACGGAGGAGACGAGATGCCTTAGAGTTTGTTGTCCCCGAGCCGTCCAGCAGAGGGAGCCTCCGACACACTCAGGAGAGGAAGGAGACAGCGACCAGTGACCGGCCCGGCCTGGGCGTGTTTGGAGAATCGCTCTGATGCAGCAGGTCCCGGAGACCTACGGGCCCCATGCCTCCCCTCCTCCCTCCCTCATTCAGTCACCACCATCGACCTTAGCGGGAAGTCAATATGCATGAAAAGCATGATGAAAAATCCACACGGCAAAGGAGAACCGAGGTGACAGAAAGGAGCAGTCAGGTGCCCAAGGCCACCGCTAGGAAAGGGGTACAGCCGGGTTTTAAACCCACATAGGTCGTCTCCTTTTTTTGCCGGAGGAGAGTGGCCTCCAACTGGGGATTCTGGCCGACAATCCCAGCACTCGCCACCCGGGGGCACCCCAGGACACACGTCGCCTCCAGCATCCCACCGCCCAGCTTCGACTCATCTCCACGACCCCCAGCCCCACCCCGCTCCACCCACGCCTGCCGCCACCCCCCTTATAGGGCAAAGCGAGGCTAGGGACCCAGACCCGCAGGAGAAGCCTCAGGGGTAAGCCACCCCGTTGAGGCCACGACATGAGGACGTGGTTGTGGGGCCTTGGGTGAACCATCTCACTCTGGGGAAGTCCGTTTCCACTTCCATTAAACGAGACAGTTAATAGTACCCCCTGAGAATTAAGTGCCAATATTTGGGAAGGGCACGGAGGAAGCACTCAACTTTAAATGTCATTATTGTTATATCAACTCTGGAGACCCCCGGGGGGTTGGTCTCCCCTCCATGAGCACACGCACACACACAGAGGGGGATCTCACCAGTCTTGGGGCTTTTGAAACACCATCTAAGTGCTGAGGTTTCCCAGATGTATGTATCACCAGCCCAGAACTCCCTCCCGAGTTCAAGACCAGCCTATCCGACTGCCCACTTGACATCTCCAACTCTTCCTGGCCCCAACTGACATGCTGATCTCAGCCCTCACACCCCCCTCCCCCTCCCCCCCCCCCGGAGAAAAACCTTACTCTGTTAAGCATTCTCCATCTCGAGGTGGCACGCCTGTCTTTCCAGGTGTTCAGACCCACATCTGGGGGCCTCCCTTTCTCCTGAATCCTTCGTTCAAGGTATTCGCAAATCTGCCGGCACTAACTTCGTAAAGCAGTCGGTCCAAATCAGAATCCAAGCACCTGTCTTCACTCTACAGCCCACAACTTGCTTGGAGACACTGTCATCTCTCACCTGGACAAATCTGGTCACCCCATCTGATCTCCCTAGTCCCATCCTTGCCTCACACAGTCTCTATTCAACATGGCAGCCAAAGACTATAATAACAAATCTTGTCCCTCCTCTGTCCAGAGCCCTCCATGCCTCCCTATCTCTGTCATAGAAAAAGTCAGTGGACCCCAAGGCCCTGTGGGACCTGCTCCTATCCCCTCCCTGACCTCATTCCCTTCCGTGTTCCTCCTCCAGCCACACTGGTCTCTTCAATGCCCCCTAAACACCTCAGGACCAAGCTTGTTCCTACCTCAGGACCTTTGCACTATACCTTCTCTCTGCCTCAAAAACTCTTCCCCAAAATATCCACATGGCTCCTGCCCTCTCCTACCTAAAGCCTTTGTTGAAATGACCCCTTCTTGGTGAGGGCTTCACTGACCATCTTACAACCTCTCCCCCTGCCCCACCAGCATTACTGAACACCCACAGAAATACACGCACTGACCCAGCTCAACTTTTCCATAGCACTTATTGCTTCTCTCCCACATGGGCCAACGTAGTCACCCCATCTGGTCTCCCTAGTCCCACCCTTGCCTTCCCACAGAGCAGCCAAAAGAATACTATAAAGACCAAATGACCGGGGCGCCTGGTGGCGCAGTCGGTTGAGCGTCCGACTTCAGCTCAGGTCACGATCTCGCGGTCCATGAGTTCGAGCCCCGCGTCGGGCTCTGGGCTGATGGCTCAGAGCCTGGAGCCTGCTTCCGATTCTGTGTCTCCCTCTCTCTCTGCCCCTCCCCCGCTCATGCTCTGTCTCTGTCTGTCTCAAAAATAAATAAAACGTTAAAAAAATTTTTTTTAAAAATAATAAAAATTAAAAAATTAAAAAAAAAGACCAAATGACAAATCTGTCGCTCTGCTCAGAACCCTCCCATGGCTCCCCATTTCTGTCACAATAGAAGTAAAAATCCTCCAAGGCCCTGTATGAATTTACTTATTTGCTCATTTATTATTCGTCATGTTAACCTCCCCCCCACACCCAACACAGGTCAATTATGTAAGGGCTCAAATACCACCTGGCTTACAGCAGATGCTCAATAAATATTTGATGAGTTAATATGGTTACTGTAGACCTTGTCACCGCCCCATCTTCTTTATCATTTCAGGGACTACACCATCACCTGTTCCCCCAGCCAAAGACTTGGAAATCACCCTTAACTCCTCCCTCACCGCAGCTCCTGTGGCTAGGTAGTCCCCCCTCCTGTCCTGCCTGGACCTCAGTCTCCCTCTTCCCCAGGTTTCCATTCCCCAGTGTCCCCCCCTTCCAAGCCACCGTCCTGCCAGCTCATATCTGACCAGATCCTGTCATGCTCCTGCTCACACACCTTCTATAGCTCCCTATTGCCTTCAGCATAAGGCTTGAACTGAGATGTAGCCCGCAGTTCCTGGGCAGTTGGCCCCTGCCCGACTTTCCTCCAGTCTGCACCCCTCCTCCGGATCCAGCCTCTCTGGAGTGGTGCTCCTCGAGCACACCATGTTCTCCCTTACCTGGGGACATCTGCAGATGCTGTCCCTCCCACATGCTCTTCTCTCCTTGTCACCACTCAACTTGTACCCTCACTTCAGCATCAGAGAAGCTCTCCCTGAGCCACCCCCCTGTTGTGTCACAGAGCAACAAGGGCCTCTCTTTTGGAGCACTTGTCACGGATTGTAAATAAATTTACGTGTGGAATTATTTGTTCAACATCTGTCTCCTGTTCTCCCGATGTCAGGAATTGGGCCCGGCTGTGCTCCGGGCCCAGTGCCAACAAACACTTAATTAATATGTGGTCTGTTGATGAGATAAATGAATGCACAAACTGTCCCCAAAAGCCTGAGTTCATGTCCGAGGACAAATGGCTTCCCAGCCTCCTCGCCCATAGCTTCCCTCAGTTGCCTCCCAGCTGTCCAGGCACCTTCATTTCCTTCCTGGAGCCCAAGGGAAGTGTCTGGCTGAGCTAGGGAGTAGACGGTGGGGGGGGGTGTCTGCATCCCTCGCTTTTATTCTACAAAAATCAGAACGCTCAGCAAAGGGCCTTTCAGCAAAGGAGGAAGGAAGAGGCTTTCCAGGGAAGGTCTGGATTTACAAAACATCGACAGAAGCACACACCCTGAGCCCTGGGATGCAGCCTGATGCCAGGGGAGTTCGCCCATGTGAGCTGGGGACCTCAAGAAGCTGACGTCCGGGTCCAGGGCTCTTACTTCAGGCTCCAGCTCTCAAGTCCTCAACTTAAAAGCCAGCCGGGATCCACGGGGGACAGGTCCTGAATCCCAGAGGCCTTAGGTGTCAGGTCTAGGGTCCTCAGATGGCTGGGTGGGTGGGGCCTGAAGGCCCGAGTGCTCTGGATCCCCGGGGGTGGGTCTGGGCCCGAAGAGATGCGGCTGAGCCTGGTCCCTCAAGCAGGAAAGCAGGCACTCAGGGGACCTGACCTGGACCTCAAGGGGGAGGACCAGACCGTCAGGAGGCGGAGCCTTGCCATGAGGGGCGTGGCCTGCACCTTCATCATACTGCTCAGTGGAGGAGCCTGGTCCTCCAGGAGCCCAACCGGGCCTCCGAGGGGCGTGGTCTCTGCCCTCAGGGCCCTGGGGGCGGGGCCTGATCCCTCGGGGGCGGGGCCTGGGCCTCTTTGGGCGGGGCTTGGCCCCCCCCAACCCCCCCCCCGCCCCGCCCCGCCCCGGGATCCGCAGGGAAGCTTCGGCGATCAGGCCCGCGGAGGCAGTGGCTCCACGTTGAGCCAGATGCCGTTCTCCGTGCGCAAGATGAGCTCAGGCTTCCGCCGCACCTTGCGCGTTCGGTCCACACTCAGGCGGAAACGCAACAGCGTCAGCGCCACGGCCACGCGCATCTCGGCCATGGCAAAGCTCTGTCCGATGCAGTTTCTAGAGGAAGGGGGACGGGGGAGGGGCTCAGGTGCAGCCGCTGTGTGACCCGGGAAGGGGGGAGTCCCTGGGTAAATGACCGACCTCCCGCTCTGGGTCTCAATTCCCTCATCTGTAAAACGGGAGCAATGGCATCCTAGAGTCGTTGGGAGCCTATGAGCCCAGAACTCAGGGCCTGCCACACGGTAGGCGCTCAATACCCAGGGATGTTATCACAGAGTCTGATTTGGGGGTTTCTTAGTACACTGGAGGCATGAAGGGTGCTGGGTTGGCAGAAAGCACATCTGGGTGGGAGGTGATCTCTGCTCCTGATCGGCACATCCCTGACCTTCGACTCCCATGGGGCTCCTCCTACGCTTGGCTTAAACTGGGGGAGACAGAAGAGTTACCTGGGTCCTGCAGAGAAGGGCACATAGGCCAGTGGGGAGCGCTGCTGTGGGTTGTCCGGGTCAAAGCGATAGGGGTTGTACACCTAGGCAGGAGTGGCCAGGGGGTGGGTGAGTCTGGTTGGCCCATCCCATCCCAGCTTGGTCCTGACCTTTCCGCTGGATGGAGAGAACCTCACTACAATCCAGCCACACCCTCCTCTTTTCTGTTGTTCAAGCATGCCAGGCTCACTCCAACCACAGGGACTTTGCACTTCCTGTCTCAACTGCCTGGAACAGGCTTCCCCCTGCTCTTCGCACTTCTCAGGTCTCAACTCAAACACCTCTTCCTCCCCAAGGCCTTTCTTCACCATGTGAGCTAAAGTGCCCCCCACCCCCTCCAGTTTTTATCTCCTTTGTGCATGTATCACAACCATAGTTTTTGCTTATTTTCTTCCCCTGAACTTCACAGTGAGCTCCATGAGGGCCAAAAAAAACAAAAAACAAAAACAAAAACAAAAACCAGTACATTTCTCGGTCCTCTGTGCCCAGCACAGAGGCTGGCAAACAGTAGGTGTTCAATAAATATTTGTGGACCTAGTGAATCAACAAACAGTGAGTGAATACATGGGGGGAGGGGCACTCAAGCTGTGCATCCAGCCAGGCCACCTGGGTCCCTGGGGAAGAGGGTAGGAAGGCCTCAGTGGCCCAGGACCACCCCTTCTGAGGGGGAAAAAGCTGAGGGAAGAGAGGATTGAGGCAGGCGCTCACCTTGGAGTCAGGCCACACTGTGGGGTTGTGGTGGGTCCCGTAGATGCTGACCAGGCAGATAATTCCTGTGGGGAGGGTGGCATCATTGGGGCCACTGGGGCTGAGGGGAACTTTCCCTGAAGTCCTCCTCCTCCCCTGCTCTTCCTGGAGTCATGCTGTTCCCAAGAGCCATCTACCACCCTTTCCTGCCTATCCTTCTCTGAAAAATTCTGCTGCTGGCCCCCTAAGAGGTCCCCATCACCTGCTTTCTAGCTGCCATGCCGGCCACACAGGGATCTTTGTCACTCACAGATCTGACATTGTTCCTCCTCAGCTCAAAAACCTCCCATGGCTCCCTACTGTCCTGAAGATCAAGTTCAGGTGCCTCAACCTAGCATTCGCAGCCTTTCAATACCTGCACCCTGAAACTCTGCTCCATAAATATGCTCTCTCTTTCACTTTCTACCTTCAAGGCTCACCTCTCATGCTGCCTCTTCCAAGCAGACCCCCACCCTGAATTTCACCCCATATTTAAGTCATCACTCCTTACTTTGGACTGTTTCAGCCCCTTTAAAGTTACTTCCTTTAGGCCATTCCTGACCCCATGTGACTAGGAATGTCTGTGCCCTGCTGTGTCTTCCTCAGACTGAGTGGTATTCAAGGCCTGGGACTGGGAACGAGGCCTCTCTAGATCCCCAGCATCACCCAGAGCCAGGCTTAGTCTCCAAGGAATATTTGGCCACTGAATGAAACCATCCCTCCCTCACCTGCACCCTCACAGGGCCCACCCCACCACACCCACTCTTGCTCTTCCACCGGGACTCACCCACCTCTGTCTAGCCCCTACACGTGGGTTCTCCTCCCTCACCCCAGAAGCAACAGCCACACAGAGAGATGGCCCATCCACAGGGAGGGTGCACCTGGGGCAGGTTTGACCATGCTCCCATGGGCACTAGAGCGGCCTGGCAGCTGGCAGCACACAATGGGCACCTTTGGGGATGACGCGCCCATCTGGAAGCTTGATGTCCTCCGTGCAGCGGCGGGAGACCAGGGTCACGGGTGGGAACTGGCGTAGGCTCTCCTTGATGCACATAGTGGTGAAAGGCAGCTGGGTCAGGTCGTCCCTGGGGAACACGGAACGTGGGATGGTCAGTGGCTTGGAGCCAGGGCACAGCAACACCCCTTCCCCCAAACACACACACACACACACACACACACACACGCGCGCGCGCGCGCGTTCAGGAGCAACCACGCAGGAAACCAGTCCAGGATCTCAGACTTGCCCCAGCTTCCGGTGTTTGCATTTATGCCATGCACACATCACTACCCCTCAGCATGCCCCCAAGCAACCCGAGCAGCACCAGCAGGCTTCTGCATGCCCAGCATTAACCCTTTAACTGATGGATTACGTGGCAGCCAGGGGATAGCCGGGAGAGGTGCCAGGACAGGCGGCGGGGGGTGGGGGGGGGGGACGCCCGGGCATCAGCAATTCACCAGCCTGTGTGGATCAATTTCAGTATTTAAAAACCTGTCCATTCTCTCCTTCTGCTATTATTAACTTCTTTCCGTTGGACTCCAGGGCCCAAAAGTGGATTAATTATAACCCTTGGTCCATGATCTAGATCGTTTTCTTTCTCTTTCAAAGAAACTTCACGTCACTCCTGTAAAGGGCAAACGGCATGCCTGGCATAAAAGTACCCATAAGGTAAACACCACTGGGAAAACAGAAGAGTTATTAAATTCTGGCGAGACATCATCTCCTGCCCAGTCCTCAGAACCTGAGCCATCTTTTCCCTTCATTAAAAAGGCAGATTAGCAAGGAATTGAAGAATACAATGGCACCCGACTGAGAATGTCTCCCTGACATCGAAATCTAAAAGGTTGACGCGGGGGCGCCTGGGTGGCTCAATCAGTTAAGCGTCTGTCTCCAGCTCAGGTCATGATCTCATGGTTCAGTTTGTAAGTTCGAGCCCCGCACTGTCAGCACGGAACCTGCTTGGGATTCTCCCTCTTCTCTCTCTGCCCCTCCCCCACGTCTGCTCCCCCCCCACCCCAAAATAAATAAACTTTAGAAAATAAATAAATAAAAGGTTGACACTAAACAGAAAAGAGCTTTCTCGCTGTTTGATGCTATTTAATGCTGTGTTTTCTTTGAGTCACCCAAAAATCAGCTCTACACGGCACATGTCTGAATTATACACCCCTTGCCCTTTGCATGTGATTCTGCAGTGCCTTCTGCTCAGGCGGGTAGAATGTATGTCCTGCCCCATTCATGGTGGGCTTGGCCGTGTGACTTGCTTTAGTGAAATGGAATGTTCCAGTGCAGGCAGAGGTTTTAGACTGTGGCTCTTCGAGCTTCTGGAATCTGCCTTGAGAGGAACACGCCCCAGGTGGCTGCTGGTTCAAGGAGAATGAGGAGATGTGTGAAACAGACCTGAACCCACGCCTCCATTTGGAAGCCACCCCGCTCAACTGAACGGCACCCTGCAATAGCGAGAGCAAGAAATATGTGCAGACCAGAGCAAGAAACAAATACACAAGCTCCAGACTCAACCGGCCCCCCACCATCCCCCTGACCCCAAACGGACCACTCCAGCTCCTCCAGCTCCCGGCCTTGCATGACCTCTCGGATCTCTTCCCGGCACTTCTCCTGGTACTCTGGATACTTGGCCAAGTTGAACAGCACCCATGACAGGCCACTGGATGTTGTGTCATGACCTGTAGGCAGGTGAGGAGCTCACGTGGAGGCTGCCTGAGGACAGCGGAGACACGGTCTTCTGACAACGGGGCCCCCTCCTCGCCTCCCTCCACATCCTCACCTTCAAACATAAAGGTGTCCGCCTCAGCTCGGATGTCCTCATCTGACAGTTCCTTCCCGTCTTCATCCTGGAACGAACAGGAGAGGATCCTTAGCCCGCTTCATCCCACCCTCCACCTCCTAGGGCTGAAGTCAAGATACTCCCCCCTCTCTCAAGCCAAGCTGCAGGGGGAAGGATGCCAGGCAGACAGAGGTACGTGGCTTGTCTAAGAAAGATGGAAAGTGGGAGGGAGAGTCAAAGGTGAGGGGAAGAAGGGAGTTTGTATCCCTTGAGCAGCTGGTTGCAGCAAGCATCCTGCTGGATGGAGGCCCAACCATGACCTGTGATCAGGTCTCATGACCATCATGTCGTAAATGAGGAAACTGAGGCTCAGAGGGAAGAGTCAGGTGACTAAGGTCCAGCATCCGCTAAGCAGCAGGGCCAGAACTGGAACCCAGAACTGCCTGAATCCTGAATCCAAGTGCTGCTCAGGAATTCCACAGAAGGGGGAGCCGTGGTGGCTTAGTGGTTAAGCATCTGGCTTTGGCTCAGGTCATGCATGATCTCACAGTTCATGAGTTCATGAGTCTCACATCAGGGGAGCTCAAGCCCTGCTTTGGGTGAGCTCAATCCCCTCTTCCGGTGAGCCTGGCTTCTGTCTCTCTCTCTCTCTCTCTGCCCCTTGTGGGATTCTCTCTCTCTCTCTCTCTCTCTCTCTCTCTCTCTCTCTGCCCCTCACTCACTTGCTCTCTCTCTCTCTCAAAAACAGGAAGAAAGAAAAGAAATCCCACAGAAGCAATCTCTGCAAGTGTCATATTTTTTCAGTCTTGGGTTTCAACTTTTCAGCATGGTGAGCAAAATCATGGCCCCGCCCCCACCACAACCCTCCAGAATTCATATGGTGAGGTCCTCACCACCCGGGACCTCAGAACGTGACTGTATTTGGAGACAGGGCCTTTCCAGAGGTAATTAAATTATGATGACGTCATTAGGGTGGGCCCTAGCCCAATATGACTGGTGTCCTTAGAAGAAGAGGACATTTATGCAAAGACACAGGCAGAGGGAAGACAACGTGAACACACATGAGAAGGAGGCCATCTACAAGACAGGGAGAGAGGCCTCAGAAGAAACCAACCCCTGTCAGTGCCTTGATCTCAGATGTCTAACCTCCAGAACTGTGAGAAGGTTAACTTCTGAGGTTTAGCCCACCCAGTCTACAGCACTTCGTTACAGCAGCCCCAGCAAAACGAATACACTAAGTCTTACTTGTGTATTAGGGTGCCTGCCTGCCTCCTAGAGCTGTGTTATTCGGGACGTTTGTCCTTTTATGGAGTTGGTGCAATTCACGAGGGGCCGGGGCCCAGCCTCACCTTGGCCAGGAGCAGCACATCGATGAAGTCCAAGGTCTTGCCCTGTTTGCCCTTAAGCCAGGCCTCGGCCCCCTGCTGGTGCAGCGCCCGCCTCCGCTCCTGGATGACCTCCGTGGTGAAGCGGTGCACGGTGTCACAGGCCTGCCGGAAACGCCGCCCGTCTGCCGTGAGGTAGTAGATGAGGTCGATGTGGTGGTGCACGCGGTATTGGCGCTGGACCACGAGTGCGCTCAGCTCGATGATGGCCGAGATGTAATCGCTCATCTTCCTGCCGGGAGAGGAAGGGCCGTGAGCACAAGCTGCTCCCTAGGACCAGTGAGCAAACCCCCCCCCCAGCCCCGTATATACACGATATTTTCTCATTTTCCTGTACTCTTCACGCTCTACCATCTGGGGCCTTGCTGACCCCGGAGAGACGCGGCCCCTCCCAGAGCCAGCCAGTTCTGAGAGATTGCCAATGACTCACCCAAGAGTATGCCTTTCATGTGCACACCAAACAGTCCAGAGCCCATACGCTGAAACTTATCAGGCCGAGCCACTATCTCCAGTCCTTAATCACTGGACAACTAGGGACAGCCCCCATCCTCCAGAGCCCTCTGTAATTATTCAAACGAGTGAATCTTAAGCTTGTGTAACCGCCATACTGTTCTTTCCCAAGGAAACCACCAAAAAAGACTGTCATGCTTTCTCCCGACTGACACCAATGCCTCCCTGTGTGGCCCTGAGGGGTGTAGTAGGTCCCCTCCTCTTGGGAACTGTAAGGAACAATCATCTCCTGATTGGGTGGCCTCATCATATCTGAATAAAACCAAAATCCAGGTACACATAGACCCAAAGACAGATTAGGACTTCCAAATAGATGTAGCATCACAAAGACTAAATGGCTATAAGCCACAGAGTGAGAGAACTCATAAATATGATCACAAACTTGTATCTAAAATATATAAAGAACTTTTGGGGCTCCTGGATGGCTCGGTCAGTTGAGAGTCTGAGTCTTGATTTTGGCTCATGTCATGATCCCAGGGTCATGGGATCAAGCCCCACATCAGGCTTTGGACTGAGGGTGTAGCCTGCTTAAGATTCTCTCTCCTTCTCCCCCTGCCCCTCCCCAGGTCACTATCTGTGTCAAAAAATAAAATAAAATATGAATAAATAAATAAATAAATAAATAATATAAAGAACTCTTAAAATGCACTAATAGACAAAGAATCCAATTAAAAAATGGGTAAAACATATGCATAGACATTTCTCCAAAGAAGATATACAAATGTCCAATGAGCACATGAAAAGATGCTTAACAGCATTAGCCACTGCAGAAATGCAAATCAAAACCACAATGAGATACTGTTTCACCCCAACTAGGAATGGCTATAATCAAAAAGACAGATAATAACAAGTGTTGGTAGAGGTGTGGAGAAATTGGAGCCCTCACATACTACTGGTAGGAATATAAAATGCTGCCTCTCTCTCTGTCTCTTTCTCTCTCTCTCTCTCTCAAATAAGCATTTAAAAAATTAACAAAAAAGAAAAAAAATGAAATCACTGGGACAGGTGTGCAAGGGGCTGTCCTTGGTCCTGAACTATGCTTGTTGTTTTCACACATGTGTCACAGTCTGTCATTTCCTTGTTTATTTACTTGTGCACGGAAACTGCTTTTCTTCCCATCAACATATAAGTTCCAAAGGAGCAATACTTTGTCTATTTTGTTGACCATTATATTCACAGTGCCTAGTCCAGGAATGGCACATAGTAGGCTGGAATAAATATTTCTGGACTGATTAATTAATCAATTAACTAGTTAATCACTAAAGCCGCTGTCACTTTACCCAACTGAAACATAACCCTACAAAGCCCAGAGTAACAAAGTCAGCAGCTTATCATTGAGAACCTACTATGTGCTACAAACTTGCCATTTATTATGTCTCTTATTCCTTATATCCCTGCTTAGATTATAAATTCCAAGGAACTGGGACTTAGTCTGTTGCTCACCACCATATTCTCAGTAGATAGCATAGTATCTGGCACATAGTAGCTACACAACAAATATCTGATGAATGAATGAATGAATGAATGAACCAGGACAATGGTTATTTTATTCATTCATTCAACAAATATTTACTGAACATCTACTGTGTGCCAGGGCAGTGCAACATCATTTTATTCTTTTTTTTTTAAAGTTTATTTATTTTTGAGAGAGAGAGAGAGAGAAAGAGAGAGAGAGAATGAGTGGGGGAGGGGCAGACAGAGAGGGAGACACAGAATCCAAAGCAGGCTCCAGGCTCGGAGCTTTCAGCACGGAGCCCAACATGGGGCTTGAACCCATGAACCTGAAGATCATAACCTGAGCCAAAGTCAGACGCTTAACTGACTGAGCCATCCAGGCGCCCCATATCATTTTATTCTTAAAGCATGTCTCAGAGGGTCAAGAATTGTCATCCCTGGAGTGCCTGAGTGGCTCAGTTGGTTAAGTGTCTGACTCTTGGTTTCTGCTCAGGTCATGATCTTGCAGTTTGTGAGTTCAAGCCCCACATCAGGCTCTGCACTGACAGCATGGAGCCTGCTTAGGATTCTCTCTCTCTCTCTCTCTCTCTCTCTCTCTCTGCCTCTCCCCTGCTTGCTCTCTCTCTTCCCCCCTCTCTCTCTCTCCCTTCCAAAATAAATAAATTAAAAAAAAAAACAATTGCCATCCTTGTTTTATAAAAAAGGAAACTGAGGCTCATAGCCTGGGGAGACACTTTCCAAAAGCCAAACTATTCCTCATGGAAGGATGAGGGAAACTAGTACTTATTAAGCACCTACTGTATACCCAACCACCAACTTACATTACCTCACTTAATACTCACAAGATGACTATGGGGGTGGGATTGGGATTCCATTTTTTCAGATAAGGACACTGGCCCAGAGAGGTGATGTCAGTTTTCAGAAACACACAGCCTGTCGGTGGCAGAGTACTGACAGCCCGGCGATGCCCGACACCTGAGAGTCTCCTTTCTTCTCCCACCACCTTGCCCTGCAGCAACTGTCTCTATCTTCCCCCAGGAAGGCCACACTCACTCCTGGCAGTTGCTGTTGTGGCTGAAGACACATTTCTGAAGACTGTCCAGGGTCATGAGGCTGATGTGCTCAAACATGTCAAGGGAGACCACTGGGCCCTCCGCCAGGCGCCGCCATTTAGCCTGCGAGAGAGAGACATATGGCGAACCGAAGCAGAGACCGCAGGCTTTGAGCAGGGCTGACAACGGCACCCCAGCTGCCTGCTCACCTCAAGCCCATTTTGTAGGTAAAGGAAGTGAACCGTCCTGACATCCCATGGCTCACACATGAGTCGGGACCTGGACCAGTCCCACTCCGCGGACACCCTCTTCCCAAGAGACCCCGCGACTCACATGCATGATGTCAGTGCACTGGTTGAAGATCTTCATGTAGGGCTTCAGGATGTCGAAGTGAAAGGCGGGGGTCAGCAGGCGGCGGTGCCGGCTCCACTTCTCACCTTTGCTAAGCAGCAGCCCATCTCCTGGGCGCAGGAGACTGCCCTTAGGAACCTCTCCCATTACTCTGAAACCACAAGAAACCCCACGCCCCACCCCCTCTTCCCTGAAGCCCCAGCCCCAGCTCATCCAGTCCCACACTCACCCAGCCAAGGTTTCAGGAAACCGTAGAAAAGGTCATCCTTGGGGGCAATGGCAGCTGTGGAGAGAGAAGAGGTGATGATAATTCAAAAGAGAGTGCGGACCCTTGACCTCTGCTTCTAACCTCCTTGGGGCTCCTCTCTGAGCTCTGACCTCCACCTCACCTCTCCAGTCCATCTTCCACACCTGCTCCCGAAAGACCCTTATAGGATGCTGATCTGAACATGAGCCTCCCCTACTCAGATACCTCCCATGGCTCCCTATCACCCTTGTAAAAAAAGTTCAAGCTCAGGCTAGCACTGAAGGCCCTGCCCCATCTAGCCTCCCTGTGTCTCTCCTATCTCACCCTTCAACATACACCTCACATACTGGCCCAGGCTGAGCTCTCCATCCAGAATGGCCCTCTTCACCCTAATCACCCCCTCTTTTCTGCCAATCCAGGCCATCTGAATTACGCCTCCTGTGCTCTCAGTCTCCAGTGCAGCCTCCTCCTTGCACTCCGGTCCCAGGAGGTCTTATCAGATGCTAGATCTGACCATGTCCCTTCCTGCTCACAGCCATTAGCCACAGCACCAGCTGTTCAGCCCATTTTCAAAGCCCCGAATGACCTACCCCAGTCCAGACCTCTCTCAAAACATCTCTGTCCTCCATACCCTACATGCTCAATGTTCAAACATCACAGCACTTTCTCATCTTCTTGAAAAAGCCACATTCTCTGTTCTTTCTACCACATGCCTTCTCTGCCTCAAACACCCTTCCTTCATCCTTTGAGTCTCTGCTTGGATGCCACCCCTTATCCACCCATCCCTCTGGATTGCATCCATCCAGGTACAAGCCCCTGGAGAGGAGGGACCATGTTGATCACTGATATATGGGTGCTAAATAAATTTTCAGTGAATGAACCAGTCAAGGGATGAAAGAATGCAAAAATGGATGGATGGGTGGGTGGGTGGGTGGATGGATGGGTGGGTGGGTGGTTGGGTGGGTGGGTGGGTGGATGGGTACGTGGATGAGTGAGTTAACTCCCTTTCTATGGGTTGAACAGATTTGTGACTGAATGGGCAGGGGCCCAGGAAAGAAGTACCTGAAACTCAAGTGATGTCACTTTTACCCGAGATGTGACTCAGCCACCTACACACACACTACCTAGGAATTGGCCAATCGTGCACACAGTCATCTGTCCACTCATCCTCCTATTCGGAGGGTTCTGCCACACTCTGTACCCAACCCCTGCTGGGCAGTGCTGGGGACCAGAGGTGGCTCAGCTCCACACCCTGCCTGGAGGAGATCTGGGTGGGGCGAGAAAGAGAAGTAGAGGCATGCCATGCAAATATCAAGAAGGTAGAAAGTGTGCCAGAAGCAAAGGGAGGCACAGAGAAAGGGCTGTTGGAAGTCAAAGCAACACTGGAAGAGGCAACACTGGAGAGGAAGGTAGAAGTCTATCTAGTCATGCCTTTCCTCTCTGAGATCTGGACTCCGGCCTTAGCCCCTTGAGGGTCTTTCTGATATACAGACCTGTTAAATGGTTGCCCAGCCCAAGCACCATTCCCTAACACCCCCAATGTAAAACACAAGCTCATTTGCTTTGCGCACAGGTGCTCTGAGTCCAGCTTCTGTCTCACTGCCTACTCGTCCCCACACATCATCCTCACTCCAGACACCCCAAGTCACCTGAATTCCCCTGGCACTTTCACACATCTGCACCTCTGCACTGGTAGAACCCTCCACCTGAGACTTCTCATCTGGCAAACCCCTACACACATCCTTCAAGGCCCAGCGTCATTGACATCTCCTCCATGAAGTCTTCCCCAACCCCCGGCCCCCACCCCAGGCCAAACCCTTGTTCTCCCATCCTCGGGTCCCTACACCTCTCCAACTTTGAACACTAGATTCCCGGAGAGGCCGTGACCAGGCTCCCTTTCCCCTCAGTGTCCCCTTCAGTAAAAAGCAGATGGTAACGTCTACCCTGGAGGAGGTCCTATAAGAAGAGGCCCCACCTGGTGCTCAGCAGGAAAGTACATATCACTGTGGTTGCGAGCTCGGCCTCCGGGAGGGCCAGATCTGGGTTCAAATCCCAGCCCCACCACTAACTCAGCATGTAAACTTGGGCGTGTCAACCATTGTGGCCCTCCGTTTCCTCATCTGCCACAGGAGAAATAGAACAATTCTGCCTGCCTCGTGGCATCCCTACAAAAGCTCAATGAGCTAACATGTTCCTGGCACACGGCAGGTGCTCATTAAATATTTGCACACATAAATGAATAATTAGCCAACTGCTGGCTATTTTTATAACCATGATTATAATTATTGGTCATTGGTGTCACGAACCCAGGAGATGATTATCTGCATCCTCCGTTCGCAGCAAGCCCCCGCCAGGGAAAAATAAATGCACAGCCGTCGTGGAAAGCTGTTTGGTGGTTCCTTGAAAAAGTTAAAGGTAGAATTCCCATATGGCCCTGCATTTCTACTCCTCAGCACCTACCCAAGAGAAATGAAACTATACATCAGCACCGAAACCCGTGCAGGCATGTTCATAGCATCATTCGTAACAGCCTAAAGGTAGGAAGGACCCAAATGCCTGTCGGTGGATGAGCAGATAAACAAATTGTGGTATATCCGTATCCCCATACAATGGACTTCTACTCAGCCTTAAAAAAAGTAGGTCCTGATCATTGCTACAATGTGTGTGAACAACGGAAACACTGTGCTAAGTGAAAGAGGTCAGTGCAAAAGGTCACATTTTGTATCATACCTTTACTGTGATATATCCAGAATAGGCAGAGCCATGGAGATAGCAATTAGAGCGCTCCCCCCCGCGCGGCCCCCCCGCCTGGACCTAATCACTTAATGGGTACAGGTTGTTTTATGGGGCCATGAGAAAAAACTTGGAACTAGAGAGAGCCTTGGGTTGCACAACATTGTGAACACGCTACATACCTTACACTTTAAAATCGTACATTTTTAAATGGTTAATTGCATGCTACGTGAATTTCATCTCAATAAAAAATAAATGCATAAAGGCAAAAGCTGTAATGATATGCCTATATATCACACTTCATTCTCTATAACGCATTTCCCCCTGCTTTCTCCCATTAATGCTCTCTACCCCAATTGCCCGATATAAGATGGAGAAGGTTCAGGAGGAGCTGTGCGTTTCTCAGGGCCCACGGGCTGTGTGGTTTTAGCCCCAGGCCATCAAGGTCCCCGGGTGTGGCCCTGAGGAGGCCCCGGTGTGGGGTGGGATCCACAGCTTGGGGCCAGGCCTGTCTGTCCTGACTCACAGCTCCGCCCCCTCCCCCCACTCCTCCAGTGGGGGGAAGGCCCTGGATATCCTGCCTGTCCTGAGGGAGGGGAGGGGAGGGGAGAGGGAGAGGCTGGGGCATCTACTATGTGCTAAGGCCATGCAGGGGGGCTCCACTCCCTACTCCATCTGGAGTCCCACAACCATGTAAGATGATCCTCAGGAATCTGCGGTTCTGAGGAGGAGAGGGGAGAAGGAGGAGGCAGAAAGAAAAACAGGACGTGAGAAAAGCAGGAGACGAGAAACCCCCATGAGCACCTACCCACATCACGGTGAGTCTTCACCACCACCCCATTTTACAGATCAGAAACTGAGGCCCTGAGAGGCTACATGAATTTCTGGGTCACATGGTGAGGATGGCTCCACCCAGGATTCGAGCCCAGCCCGCCCAAGTCCTGGCCCAGGGCTCTTTGCACAACTTGGAGCCCATCCCTTAGAGAAGTCACCCTTCCCGGGGTCCAGGCTCCCCCTTTGTGCAGTGGGTTGGGCATCCCGGAATGAAACGTGGGGAGGGTACGGCTGGGGGAGGGAAGGATGGCAGGCCCTTCCTCTTTCATGGGTCCGACGTGATAGCCTTGAAGGTGGTCTCTAGACCTCAAAGAGAGATCTCAGCCTCTCTTTGTAGGGGCCCAAGCTGGGGCCGGAGATCCTAAAATTCCTGGTACTTGTTCATTCCTTCCTCCTCTCTCAAATGTCTCTGATGCCCCTGGAGGTGCCCAGTTACGCACGAGGCCACACCAAAGATCCAGACTCCTAGGGGGAAGACGGAGCTGGAGGCAGACACACTCAGTCAGCCCTAGAGCGTTAGGACGGAGAATGAGAAAGCCCAGAGAAGAAAACCATGATCTGTCTGGAGGGTCAAGGAAGTCTTCCTGGAGGAGGGGTCATTGGATCCGGGTGTTGAAGGTTGAGCAAAGACTTGCCCAGCACACCCAGGAGCCCTACACCTTGGGACGGGTGTGGACTCAGAAGGGAGAAGCAATCTTTCTACGTCTCCTTTTCTACTAGTCAGGGTCAGCCCAGGTGAAAAGAATGGGCTGCAGGCTGGGATAGCCACAGCAGGGAATATCAGAACCCAAATGGTGGAACTGCCATGGCTTAGAATTAAGCAGCAACCACTTAACAAAATCTCAGGCAAACAATTCCCTGATCAAATACGTTTGGCTCTGACTTCTAGGTGGGCATGTTTGCCTCTCAGAGTTCCTAGGACCCCTAGACGGTGTCGCACCTTTTCCCATGCTATCCCCACTATCTGTATTACCATGGCTGCTTTGGTGAACTCCTATTCATCCTTCAAATCCCTACTCCAATGGCCCTTCCCCCAGATAGCCTACAGGCCCAGAAGCCCAGGTGATTTCTGGGAGTTGAGGGTTTATCCATCACCCAAAGGCCCAGCCCACCTACCTGAGGCACCCACTACGGGCTTGATGTAGTCAGGATGCACCAGAACCAACAGTGGCAAAATGGGGCCAATCCACACCAGGATCACATGATGCATGTTGTCCAGCACCTTCTTCTCATCTTGGAGGCCTGTCTCATTTGGAAGATACTGCAAGGGGTAGGAGGGAAGGACAGTGAGGAGGAGCCCAGCCCCAGCGTCCCCTAGCCTTTCCCTCCTTCCACCTCTCCCCTGTCCTTAAAACAAGCCCGGAAGAGCTGTATGATTGAGGGCAGCTGGCTGCACCTCGCTGAACCTCCATTCCCTCACCTGAGGAGTGGGGAAGAATCAACTCTCTGTCTGAGGGCAGCTGAGAACATGTATGAAATAACAAAATGAGAGTCCGCCCCCCCCCCCACCCACCCAGCACAGGGCATGACACACAGCCGGTGTTCCAGAAATAAAACCAGTAAGAGTACACCCAATAATAATGATCGGCATTTGTTGAGTACTTGCTACGTTAGTAATAAGATACCACTAGCACTGTTATCTTTAACACATGCGTGTGCTTACAGCGTTAGGCGCGGCGGTGGGCATGGTTCATACAGTTAATACCTTCAACCTACCCAAGAATTCTGTGAAATACTTGCTACTATTTCCCCATTTCACTTTGCTCGGAAAGGTCAAATGACTTGTCTGAAGTTACAGGTGAGTAAGTGATTGCCCTGGTGTGGGCTTCCCCAGAAGCCTCACCCAGAACTCATGCCCCCGGGAGGAGGCAGGCTGGGCCTACAGGGTCAATGTTGTCCACACTGACCCGGCTAACTTTGGGCACCAGGGCCTGGCCACTGCCTCTAGGACCACCATTAAAGCCAGATGGCTCTTGGAATAAGAGCATTGGACGAAGGGCATGAAAAATGAGTAGGGGTTCATCTAACTGAGAAGGATATTTGGTAGAGGGCACAGTTCCAGCAAAGACCATGGAGGTGGGAAATCAGAGCCTGGCTATAGGAACAGTAAGTCATCCTACAGGACTAGACGTGAGTAGGACGGGAGTCAGAGCCTAACGGGACTTGAACACTAGCTGAGGAGGTGAGACTTTCTCCGGACAGCAATGGGGAGTCATGGAGGGTGTGTGAGCAGAGGAGGGACATGGTTGGTTTCAAGAATTCTCCTGGGACCAGGACGGGGCGACGGACTGGAGGCAGGAGCCCAAGGAGGAGGCTGCACCATGGTCCAGCAGAAGGCAATGAGGCCTGAGGAGGGGTGGGAGGTGAAAGGGAGGGAGGAGATTCGGACACAAACAGGCAAAACTTGGTGAGTGCGGTCCCAGGGGAGTCATTCCTAAAGCCAGATAAAATATTCTTGGAGCTACTGAGTAGAAATGTACCTCCTGCTTCCTTCTTCTGAGACACTCACTCCAAGTAGCATCTAAAATATTTCTAGGGGCGCCTGGGTACCTCAGTCTGACTCTTGATTTCAGCTCAGGTCAGGATCTCACGCTTCGTGAGTTCGAGCCCTGCATCGGGCTCCACGCTGACAATGAGGAGCCTGCTTGGGATTCTTTCTCTCTAACTCTCTCTCTGCCCCTCCCCCGCCCCCACTCACATTCTCTCTCTCTCTTTCAAAATAAATAAACGTAAATAAAATAAAATAAAACAAAATAATAAAATAAAATCAACAAAATATTTCTAGAATCACTTGATACTTCCGGTCTCTGCAAGACTGGGGAGTTGAGCACACCCACCACCGCGTGGCAGGTTCAGAGTCAAGCATGCCGCCGACGTCACTTCAGGAATTGTCAAAATAATCTCATGAGGTTATCAGGAACAATCGTAAGCCCCACACTGCAGATGGGAAAACCAAGGCACAGGGAGGTGACGTAGTTTGCTCAAGGTCGTGTGGCAGGAGAGGGTAGAGACCAGCATCAAGCCCACACTGACGACCACTGCCCTTGAACTGCCTCTCCAAAGTCCACCTCTGCCCTTGGCATGAGGCCTAAGCCAGGAAGGTCTCCACAACTGTCCCTCAGTTTCATGTAAGTCTAGAAGGGGGACCGGGTGAGTGCAGTAGGCAGTTAGGAACTGGAGTCTAAGACCCCAAAAGCCTCAGTGCCTTCAGGAGTCTGGCTTTCTTCTGACCTCTGAAGCCCTTTTAGAAAAGTGCAGGTTTTCTCAGCCAGACACAAGAGGTGGCGAAGGCACAGAGCTAAGAACAGGGACTCTGGAGCCAAACGGCCTGGGCTTGAACCCCAACTCTGCCGCCTACAAGCTGTGTGACCTAGGGCCAGCTACTTAACCTCTCTGTGCCATAGTATTCTTAGAAGCAAAATGGGGACAGTGGTGGGGACTGCCGCCTAGCATTGTCAAGAGGACTGAGGGAGAGGGAACGCGAGCTGGTGCAGCCACGCTGGAAAACGGTCTGGAGGCTCCGCAAAAAAACAAATAGAACTACCGTACGACCCAGCAATCGCACTACCAGGCATTTATCCAAGGGATACGGGTGTGCCGTTTCGAAGGGACACGCGCACCCCCATGTTTATAGCAGCACCATCAACAATCGCCAAAGTATGGGAAGAGCCCAAATGTCCATCAACGGATGAACGGATAAAGAAGATGTGGTATGTATATACAATGGAGTATTACTCGGCAGTCAAAAAGAATGAAATCTTGCCATTTGCAACTACGCGGATGGAACAGGAGGGGATTATGCTAAGCAAAATTAGTCAGAGAAAAAAATCATATGACTTCACTCATATGAGGACTTTAAGAGACAAAACAGATGAACATAAGGGAAGGGAAACAAAAATAATATAAAAACAGGGAGGGGGACAACACAGAAGAGACCCATAAATACGGAGAACACACTGAGGGTGACGGGAGGGGTTGTGGGAGGGGGAGGGGCTAAATGGGTCAGGGGCACTAAGGAATCTACTCCTGAAATCATTGTTGCACTGTATGCTAACCAATTTGGATGTAAATTTAAAAAAATAAAAAATAAAATTAAATAAATAAATAAATAAAATAAGAAAAAAAAACCCAAAACATCAAAGTATACAAAAAAAAAAAAAAAAGAGGACTGAGTGAGTTAATATTTTTAAAGCACCTGATGTAATTCTAAGCACATGTATGTGAAATAAGAAATGAAAGGCAGGGCTCCTGGATGGCTCTGTCAGTTAAGCGACTGACTTTGGCTCAGATCACGATCTCGCGATTCGTGAGTTCGAGCCCTGTGTTCGGCTGTGTGCTGTCAGCTTGGAGCCTGGAGCCTGCTTCTAATTCTGTGTCTCCCTCTCTGCCCCTCCCCTGCTTGCGCTCTGTCTCTCTGTGCCTCTCCAAAATGAATAAACGTTAAAAAAATTAAAAATTAAAAAAAAAAATGAAAGGCAAGGTAAGAGAATGAAAGAAAGGGTGCAACCACATCAGGGGGTGGGGTGGAGCAAAATCCACAGGGGTGCCCCCACCCCGCCTGGGGATCACAGAACCCGACGACTTTCACGGGCACTGGTACCTGTTGCTACAGCAATAGGCCTGAAATGACAGAGAAAACTTTCGACTCAGCTCTGCCTCGCCTCAGCTGTGTGACCTCGGGTAAACGGCTTGCCCTCTCTGAGCCTCCATCACACTTAGACCCTGGAAGACAGGTCTGTTTGTGGCCCTGACCAGATTCTTGGGGGAATGAAAGAAACCATCAGGTCCGTCATCCTTACTGAATACCTGGGACCCGCCCAGCCCACCTGCCCAGCCCCACACACCATGCCCAGGTGGCCCAGCAGCCAGTTGCGCCGGGGTGGCTGGGGGAAGCAGCTCAGCCGGCGGCAGGTGATGTAGCAACACCAGGAGAACCTCAGGAGTTGTATCAGCAGGCGGCAGAGGAAGAAGAGCAGGGACAGGACGAGTGCAGACACCGCATACAAGCGGAAGGCGGTCTTCTCCAGTCCCAGGACGTACAGCAGGTGCTCCGTGACGGGCAGCATCCTGCGGGAACACACGGGATGGGGGTCAGTGCAGGTAGGAACCACTCTGGCCATGTGTGTGCCATACAAAGACGACCTGTGGGGTCAAGCATAGGGTACCTGGCACACAGGAGGTGCTCAATGCACATGAGCCCCAGACACCAAGGATACCCCCCTAACTTTCCCCAGCAGTGACCTCCAGCGAGCTGACCAGACGGACACCTGTCCATATGCCCTCACTCTTCACTTCGCAGGGCATCCTTCCTGACTTCTCTGCCCATGCCTGGCTGGCCAGAGGGTTGGAACATTAAAACACGTACACCTCCACGCCGAAAGCAGCTCTTAACCAATGACGGATGAATGTTGCCAGATAAATACCTCCTCCCCTTGGGGCAATGACCTCGAGATGGGAGTTTCACATGCACTCCCAGGCTTCCACAGCAGGATTAAACTCCGGCTGCCCACAGAAGAAACTTTCTCTATTAGCTGCCTTCCTTCCCCTGTCTTTCCCTCTTCTTCTCTATTTCATTGAGGTGAGATTCACCCAACATGAGACGAACCGTTTTAAAGTACAGTTGACCCTTGAACAATGCAGGGGTTAGGGGGGGTCCCAAGCCCTGTGCATCCAGAATTCCATGTGTCACGTTTGACCCCCCGCAAAACTGAGCTGCTCATAGCCTACTGTTGACTGCAAGCCTTACCGATAACATTAACGGCCAATTAACTCATATTTTGAATGTTACATGTATTATATACTGTATTGTTACAAGAAAGTAAGCTGCAGAGAAGAAAATGTTGTTGAGAAAATCATTAAGAAAGAGAAAATAGGGGCTCAGTCTGTTGAGCGTCCGACTTCGGCTCAGGACATGATCTCGCGGTCCGTGAGTTCGAGCCCCGCGTCGGGCTCGGTGCTGACGGCTCGGAGCCTGGAGCCTGCTTCAGATTCTGTGTCTCCCTCTCTCTCTGTTCCTCCCCTGTTCATGCTTTGTCTCTCTCTGTCTCAAAAGTAAATAAACATTAAAAAAAATTTTTTTAATAAAAAATAAAATAACAATAATAATATTAATGACACAGTGACCAGGTATAGAGCGTTGCAATGTGCCATGCTCCACACTCAGGGATGTGCATGCCTCATTTTATGGTGCCTTAAAGTGGGCCTTGGAGTTGGGTCCTACCATTCTCTCCATCGTTTGCACAACTCAATCTCTGTTCTTCTAACTCAAGAGAGATGGGAGCTGACAGAGGCCCCCTGAACCCCTACCAAAGGCCAAACTCAATCACATTGGGGGCCCACAGATCTCAGACAGTGCCGAGGAGATTGCTGAAAATGGTTAGGTCTTGCCCCCATCTCTCCTTTCCGCTTAGTCCAGACACCCAAGGGTTCTCTTTGGGCTCCACCTCCTTCGGCAACACAGCTAAAGGAACCCTACCCTCCAGGTCCTCACCTGAGTCCCCAGTCCCCACCACCGGCCCATGGTTCCCTCCATTAGGGGCTCAGAGTCACTGGCTTTTCCACCAGCCAATGACCAACTGTATCATCCACGCAGAAGATGTGAAGTTTCTAGGGGCGCCTGGGTGGCGCAGTCGATTGAGCGTCCGACTTCAGCCAGGTCACGATCTCGCGGTCCGTGAGTTCGAGCCCCGCGTCAGGCTCTGGGCTGATGGCTCAGAGCCTGGAGCCTGTTTCCGATTCTGTGTCTCCCTCTCTCTCTGCCCCTCCCCCGTTCATGCTCTGTCTCTCTCTGTCCCAAAAATAAATAAACGTTGAAAAAAAAAAAAAAGATGTGAAGTTTCTATTGGTTACCACATCCTAGGAAAACAGCTGGGTGCATCATCACCAAATTAGGAGAGTCCCATTGGGACGGTCTGACTTACACTACCAGCCATGCAATTGACATGACCACTCATTAGGCTGTCTGGTACCAAGGAGAGACAGAAAGGGAATAACAAGTGTTGGCAAGGATGCGGAGAAACCTTGAACCCTGATGCCTTGCTCGTGGGGATGTAAAATGGTGCGGCTTTGCTGTGGAAAACAGTGTGGTGGTTCCTCAAAATATTAAACATAGAATCACCATATGATCCAGCAATCCCACTTCTGGAGAGATCCCCAAAAGAAGTGAAAGCAGGGACTCAAACAGATATTTGCACACCCATGTTCACAGCAGCATTGGTCACAAGGGCCAAAAGGTGGAGGCAACCCAAGTGCCCAAGAAAGGAAGAAGAGATACGCATGCTATGGCCTATCCATACACTGGAATATTATTCGGCCATAAAAAGGGAAATCTGACGCAGGCCACAACATGGATGGACCTCAAGGACATTACGTGAAGTGAAATAAGAGACGCAAAAAACAAAGGCTCTGTGTCCCCAGAGGAGTCAGGTTCAGAGACAGGAAGCAGAATGGCGGGCACCAGGACCAGCGGGAGGGGGCATAGGGAGTCAGAGTTTTAACTGAAGAAGACCGAAAAGTTCTGGACACGGATGGTGGTGATGGCTGCACAACAGTGTGAACGTACTTAAGGCCACTGAACTGTTCACTGAAAACGGTTAAGACTGGGGGGCGGGGGACACCTGTGTGACACAGTCGGTTAAGCATCCCACCCTTGATCTCGGCTCAGGTCATGATCCCACAGTTTGTGAGATCAAGCCCCGTGTTGAGCTCTGTGCTGACGGTGCGGAGCCTGCTTGGGATTCTCTCTCCCTCTCTCTCTCTCTCTCTCTACAACCTCCCCCCCCAAATAAATAAATAAACATTAAAAAAAAAAAAAAGACTGCGTGTCTCGAAGGAGGTAAAGCAGAGATAGAGGTGGCTGAATACTGGTCCCCCAAAGAGATCAGGTCTCTGGAACGTGGGAATGTGATCTTAACTGCCAGCGTCTTTGCAGACGGACTAGAGATGAGAAGATTATCCGGGATTGGATTGTCCAGGTTGTTCCCAACTGGAATCGAAATCTCCTCATAAGAGAGAGGCCGAGGGAGACTCAACACACAGAAGAGAAGAAGGCCGTGGAAAGATAAAGGCAGACCCTGGAGGGATGCGGCCACCAGCCCAGGCACCCTGGAGCCACTAGAAGCTGGGAGAGGCAGGGAGGAGATTCTGCCCTAGAACCTCCAGAGGGAGCACGGCCCTGCCCTCACCTGGGTTTCAGACTCCCGGCCTCCAGAACTCTGAGAGAATAAATGTGTGCTGTTTCAAGCCACCCGGTTCGTGGTAATTCGTCACAGCAGCCACAGGAAACAAATACACGGAGTAAGAGGGTGCAGACCGATCCCTCCAGATGAGGTGGCCTGTGTGTGTCTCTTGGGGGAAGGCTCTCTGGGCAGACAGCTGAGTGAAGAACGGGGCTTTCTCATTAAGTGCACATCTGCACACACACGCACGTAGCTGGGGTCTTTTTAATACATATATATATATATTTTTTTTTGAGAGACAGAGAGAGAGAGAGAGAGAAAGCGAGAGCGGGGAAGGGGCAGAGATAGAGAATCCCAAGCAGGCTCCGTGCTGTCAGCGCAGAGCCTGATGTGGGGCTCAAACCCACAAGCCGTGAGATCAGAACCTGAGCCGAAATCAAGAGTTGGACGCTTAACCGACTGAGTCACCCAGGTGCCCCTAAGGTTTTTGTTTTTTTTTTAATGTTTATTTATTTTTGAGAGAGAAAGAGAGAGAGGGACAGAGCGTGAGCAGGGGAGGGGCAGAGAGAGAAGGAGACACAAAATCGGAAACAGGCTCCAAGCTCTGAGCTGTCAGCACAAGAGCCCGACGCGGGGCTCGAACTCACGGACTGTGAGATCATGACCTGAGCTGAATTAAGACGCTTAACCGACTGAGTCACCCAGGCACCCACATGTAGCTGGGTTCTAATCCTGACTCCACGGACTGGCTGTGTGGCCTAGGCCACAGTTTCCCTATCTGAAACTGGGGGTGACTGTAAAAGATGATCTTTGGGTCCACCCCAGTGTGACCTTTTCCTGCGTGTGGCCTGGGGTGGGGTCACCACTTTGGCAGGCCCAAGACCTCTGGGTCACCTCTAACCCCTGGGCAACCTGGCTGTAGTCTGGCTGCCACTCCAGACACCACAGTCACCTTTCTGAAGGTCCGTCACTCTCCTGCTCTAACACCATCCATGGCTCCCCACTGCCCTCAGTCTGGCATCCAAAGCCCTTGAGGAGCTGACCACCCCCGCCCATCCTCCACTTCAGCCATAAAGATCCCCCTTCTCAGGATGTTTTGGACCCTTTCACCCAAGCTATAAACATTGGATTCCTTAGAGCTGGTCCTGAGTCATCGCTTCCTCTCTCTCCATGTATACGCCCTGGGGAGCTCACCCCCTCCCATGGCTTTTGTGACCCTGTCTCTGAGATGCCTCCCATGTCTTGATGACCCCACCTCCTGGATGGCCTCTCAGACCCTCACATTCACCTCACCTCCTTCCTCCCTCTCTGCCCACACCCAGTTCATTGCCAGGTCCTGCCAGTAGTGTATCCGAAATATCTTTCACTCTCATTCACTTTTCCCCATCCCCATCATCTCAACCCACGTCAGGCCACCACTGCAGTGGCCTCCTCCCCTTGGTCTCCCGAGTTCCCTCCCGCCCCTCCCCCCAGCAGTCCATTCTCCACCCAGCAGCCAAAGGGATCTCCCTAAAATTAAATCAGATCACAGCCTTCCCCTGTTCAAAGTCCTCCCCATTATGCTGAACACAATTCAGATTCCCTCCCTCGGACTGAGACGCCCTGTGCGCCCGGCCCCTGTGGACCCCTCCAGCCTCTCCCACGGCTCTCCCCGCTGCTGACTCAACTCCAGCCACTCTGGCCACAGGCCAAATTCATTCCCGCTTCAGAGCCTTTGCACATGCTGTTCCCTCCAACCTGGCATGCCTTTCCCCCAGCTCTGCCCACAAGGGCCCCTCCTCATCCTCCAGGACCACCTCTGCTTTTCACCACAATCAGCCACCTCCTTTTTTGAGCACCTTCTGTGTGCAGTGGCTTTCTCAGCCATTTCTTTTTTTTTTTTTTTCAACT